TGAAGACTGTTTATGGTGGAGTGTTATTTGTTGCGACTGCTCAGGATCCCAATCATCACCACCAACCAATTGCGTTTGGATGGTGAAAAATATGAGAGTTGGCTATGGTTTATGGAAAAGCTGAAATCAGTGATATTCGATGTCCCTGGATTGGTGTTTCTTTCGGACAGAAACAAAGGCTTGATCAAGGCAGTACGTCAAGTGTTCCCTCAGGCTGCTCATGGATATTGTATATGGCATTTGTCTCAAAATGTTAAAGGATATGTCCGTAACAACCGAGATACATGTGCATTTAAGTTTATGGAGTGCGCACACGCTTATACAGAGGCTGAGTTCTTGGACCTTTATGACGCTTTTTGCAAGAAGTATCCTAATGCAGCAGAGTATCTTGACACTACTTGTGAACAAAAAAAATGGGCTAGATGCTATTTTGAAGGAGATAGGTACAATGTTGACACCACCAATTCAGCAGAATCTTTTAACGGTGTTATTAAGAACGCAAGAAAGTTCACCTTACTTCCAATGTTTGATTTTATCATTGCAAATTGCTGAATGGTTTAACCAGCACAGGAAGGAGGCAGCTGAAATACACCCGCACTAAAGCTTGTGCCTATTGTGGAGACGGAAATGTCTAAACAATGAGTTGAGGCAGGGTTTCTTACGGTTGACGAGTTAAATAGCTACCATCTCGAGTATAGTGTGCATGGTAGTGACGGGAAACATTATACCGTAGACATGGCTATGAAGCCGTGCACCTGTGAGCAATTTGATAAAGACAAATATCCATGTGTTCATGCAGTAGCTGCTGCAACATTCATGGTTGATAAAGCAGGAAGAGAAGTCCTTATATCAGAATATTGTTCTAAGTACTATTTGGTGGAGCAATGGACTTTGGCTTATCACAGAACAGTATATCCTGTTCCTCATATGTCTGATTGGGTTATACCAGAAGAAGTTAAAGCAATGAAAATACTTCCTCCAGAATTTGAAGTCAAGAAAGGAAAACCGCAACAAACAAGATTTCCATCAGCAGGAGAATCTCGTGGAAGAGGAAAAAGAGGTAGAGGGAGTGGACGAGGCAAAGGGAGTGGAAGAGGGAGAGGCACATGCACAGACACAGGCACAGACACATGCACAGGCAGAGGCAGAGGCAGAGGAGGAGGTATGGCAGCGTATTTTGAATGTGGAAGTGGTTCAGGTGTTTGATTACTGGTATTATTATGTGTTATTTTGATTACTGGATTGCTAGTATTACTATGTGTTATTTTGATTACTTGGTTAACTAGTATTACTATGTGTTATTTGAACTATATATATTTTATGATTATTATCGATATATTTTATGATTATTATCAGTTCGTAGACTAGTTACTTAATATTAATATCAATATTATAAGACTATATTTGATGGTTATTTCAACATTTTAAAAAAAAAATCTTTTCAGTTTCCCAAAAATTTCTCTTAACTATCATTGTTACTGTGTGAATGGTTAGTAAGGAAAATCTACAAAAATACGTATTTCTAGCCAATACGTAATGAAAATGTATTATCGAATGATAATAATAGTGAAAAAGCATCGGTATTACTATAAAAAGCTCATTTTCTTATGGTTTTATAGATGTATTTAACACATTTTCGTATTTAAAAATAAATATAAAAAAAAAAATATTTTATTGGTGGGAGAATTGAGGATTTTTTATGAGTCAAAGGGGTATGAGGGAGAAGGAACTGGTTGTTGAACCACCATCGAAGAAGAGACGACGGCACCGGTGTGAGTTCGTCGCTGTCGTCACCAGTCTCAATCTCGGAGGGAGCGCGGTGGTGCTTAGTAGCGAAGGTGATTTTTCTAAAACGGTGGGGGAGTGAGGAGGCGTGAAGAGTTCAAGGTGGTGATGGAGTTGCCCTCGCATCATTGCAGTGCTCATCTCTTTAGTCTCGCTTTCTCACTCTAACAGGCGACCCACTCACCGAGCGAAACTGTCGTCTTCCTCTTATCAAGTGACGTTTTAAAACTCCCGAAGCAAGTTCGATTATTGTGACTCTCTCTCAGCACTGTGTTTGCTTTAATTCGGGTATTGATTTTTAGGGTTTTCAGATCTGTTTATCCAAGTCAGTTATGATTTAGAAACTATATATGATTCTTTTTTTATGGTATAAATTTGATCGATGCCTAGTAAGCTCACAGAGATCTTATGGTGGAATTATCTGCTTTTCTAGGGAAAATATGAATGTGGCAAAGAAGGAAGAAGATACGCGACGGGAAATTGGGTAAATCCAACATCCTCTGTGTCTCTTGAAATTTGGTTCTGCTCCCATTGAGTACTGTATGATTAGTAGATCACATGTTTTGTTCTGAGACTTTCATTTGATTCTTAAGATGGCAGAGGAATCTAGCTGTGTGGTGGAGGTGAAGCTGAGCAAGAAGAAGAAGAAGAAAGGTATAGAAGGAGAGAAAACAAAGACACAAAGGAAGAAGAGGATGCAGCGAGGTGGATGGGGGAAGACAACACAGGCGGCCCAGAAGCTTAGATCTAGGTTTATTTTTTGGATTTTTAACATAAAATTTAGTTGAAGTCCTCAACTAAGTTTGTTTTGTATAAAAACCCCTAAACTAAGTATTTAATAAAAAAACTCTCATACTAACTTTATTTAGTGAATTAAACCCTCGCCGGTTATAATTACTTGTACTACCGGTAAATCTTCAGTTTAGAGGTTTTATCATTAAACATAATGATTAATAAAATTCAGAATATAATAACATTATCTAAAAATTCGTAACTTAGTTTTTAAACTTGCATTTAAAAAAAAACATTCTGTAACTATATGAGTCTGATTTGTTATCCTTTTAAAATCAAAATTATATATGTGTAAATTTAAAATGTAAAAACCAAGAAAATATAACAAAAATTATCGAAAGATTTACCTGTAATAAAAATTATCAAAAGTTATAAATATAAAAACACGAAAACAGAATAAAAATTATATTATATTTAATAAAAATGTAATAATAAATCTTTAGATGATACTTATTATATTTTGGTGTTTTAAAATTTTAATCTATATATATATATATATATAATGTTGATGTTAAAACAAATCAAACTCATATATTTACAGAAAGTTTGAAAAATGCTAATTTTAAAAATTTAAGTTACTAATTTTTAGATAATGTTATAATTTTTTTTTTAGATTTTTAACGATAAAACCCTTCAACTATCTTTAATATGGGGGTTTACTTGTTAGTTTGGGGGGGGGTTTACCTAAAAAACATAGTTAAGGTATTTTAGAGTTAAAAATCCATTTTACAAGGATGAGAAATCACGCTGATATTTACAAAAAAATTTAAAATGCTAGTTTTGAAAATTAAAATTACGAACTTTAGATAATGTTATTATATTTTGATTTTTTGATTTTTTATGTTTAATGATAAAACCCCTAAACTAAAAATTTACCGGTAGCACTGGTAATTAAGACTGGCGAGGGTTTAATTCACTAAATAAAGGTAGTTTAGAGGTTTTTTCATTAAATACTTAGTTTAGGGGTTTTTATCCAAAACAAACTTAGTTGAAGGGTTTTTATGTTAAAAATCCTTATTTTTTTAATATGGGTTTAGGCTTGTTCTTTTTAAACTTGGGTTACGTATTTTGTAATACAATTTTAATTTATAAATCAATTTTAATTAGAAATCAAATTTAATTTATAAATTGCTATTTCAATATATAATTTTTTCGAATAATATTTTTTTATGATTTAATACAATAAATAATAACAAAAAAAGAAACACTATTAGAAAATATTTAATTGTATACACAAAGTGCTATAATATATAACAATAAGATAGCAATGCAAAAAACTGTTATTTAATGTGTCTGACCTACTATCACGGACAATGATACAATATAGCGTTTTTCGTCCGCTAATAAAAGTCTTTTTTCTTGTAGTGAATCTATCATGTAGATGGTGCATGGAAAGAGCAAGATAAGTTTACGGGATAAGGTTGGTTTTGTAAATCTTCAAGATCGGATAGTTCAATGATGGGGACGATGATCTTAGGCGTAGTTTATCACCTTTACATGTTGAATGTGAAATTTTGATATGGACAATGAAATGTATGAAGACTCTCCAGTTTATAGATGTAGATTTTGCAACATATTATTCTTAATTAGTGAAGATAGTATCGTCATCTGCTGAATGGTCAACTTTTTTTACACATGAAAACATTCCAATGTAATAAGATTTTCTTCTCAACCTTCAAGATAAGGCATATTTCAAGAACACAAAACATTTGGGTGGATAAATTTGAAAATTTCCATCAGCTATATTTTATGTTTGAATCTTCATCTTTAGATTAGCTTTCCAAATTAGGAAGATCTTCTTCTTCTTAGTTTTCTTTATTGTTGTAAAAAAAATCTTATGTGAAAATTCGCAAAATTTATATGTTCAAGAATTTAAATTTTATTTTTTGCTTTCTAACTCACATTTTTTAATCTTAGATTTTTAGAAAAGTGGACCGGTTTTGATTAGGGATTAAGTGTCTTTGGGTGTGATCTGTTCTTAGAATTACTTTGGGTGATTTGGGTGATCTGGTCTTAAAATCACTTTGGGTGATTTGGATTGAATACATATATGATCAAGTGACCCTCTGAAATGCACATATGACATACCTTCTGAAGGAGTAAAATATTTAAATCCAGTATAATCATAAACCAGAGATGGTTCACTCCGGTTGAAGGTTTTAGCATTTTGAGTCAACAAACATTGACAAAACCGTAAAACGAAAGCCAATCAAAATAGAGCTAAGCCAAAGAAGTCGTGTTCTAGTTGAACAACTCGAGGAAGTAGAAGCCTTTTCGGTGCTTTGGAGTTGCTTTAGGAGCAAACCAAAGACACTTATGTTCTGTCTCTTATTGAAGACAGTAGTGGTTATATAATTGAGGAAACGCAAAACATGGAAAATGCATTTAAAAAAAAAAAAATTGACAGCAAATACATTTAAAAAAAAAAACTTTAATTCTATCAATAATAGTGCCGTATCATATTATTCCTCCGAACTCTCCCCGAATCCAACACTTAAATTATGAATAAATTTAATTAATTTATATAGTAAAGATTTAGTAGATGACACGAGTCACTTCACCACCAAAGCTTCTTCTTTCTTTTGTCGTCTTTGTTGGGTTTGGTTTCGATCGATTCCAGAAATCTGTTCTGGTGAAAAAAAATCTTAGTTTAAAAGAGAAGACTCTCTCTTTTATCTCTTTCAATCTATAAAGGTATCTTCTTCGTGCCATTAAAGAACCTGAGTTTGCTTCATCACAGTGATTCTGAAATCTGTCAAGCTTCAGATTTATCTTTTTAAGGTTTTTCTTAGATTCCTTTTTTTCTTTTCTCTTAATTACGACTAATCTCTGTTATGTTTCTTTTTCTCGTTGTCTAATGATGTTGTCACCTGTAATTAAAAGATCCCATCTCTGAAATTAAATGCACCTCCTAAACTAAAGCTTTGATGACTATGTTTTAATGTGTAACCAAATCAAAGTTTTTTTTAATAGTATTTTCTTTTGCCCATATCACCGTCAGTTTTGAGTTTATTTACTTCCACTAGATCTGAAAAAAAAAATAATAAATAAAAGCTGTTTGTTTTCTATTCCAATGCGTAGGCGTTTCGCTTTCAGAGTGGCCCAGATTGTGTTGGTCAGTTTCTGGGAGAGTGAGTGTTGTATCTGTTTGTTTCTCTGAGCTGTTTAATCTTCTCATTATCTCTGAAAAATATATTTCATTGATTCTTTTCCTGAGGGAAGTTTAGATTTTTATTTACTTATTTGTTTCTCTAAGCGAAGATCATCAGGTAACTGGAGCCTCTCTGATTCTGTTTTTTTTTTTTTAATGTTTGTAGTGCGTGTTCTTGTTGTAGATTTTCAGACTGATTACCTTCTTGTGCATAGCTTAGCTGATAGAGAATCGAGATTTAATTTTCTCCTTATCAAGGGGACACAAAAACTTTTGCTCTTGGTGAGGTTTTTCTTATTCGTTGAAAACTTGAAATTATTGAAATGTTTTTGTTTCTGTATGGAAATTAATTAACTCTAGCTTTGTGTGTAGCTCGGTGAATAATAGAGTTATGGAACATGATTTACCGTCTATTAAATCATGGAAGTCACTTGTTAAGAGAAGAAACAACCCTCAAGAGGGGGTAAGCTTTCCTTTTTTTTTTTTCTTGTTCTTGGTGATTATCTCTGCGTGATTCACGGGTCTGTATATGATGTTTTACACTTTGGAATTTTGATGTGGGAAACTTTGCAGGGTAAGTCATCTTGGAAAATGAAACCGGTCATGGCTCTCATGTGTACAGTGCTTTTGATCTTTTGGTATAAGACCACAAATATTCAGTATGAACAGACACAGGTAATAGTCAAACACTTTTTTTTTTGTTTTTGGTCTTTTGATATGACAATGAGATTCTTGATAAGTAAAACTCTTTTTCTATCTTGGTACATGTGTTTGATTTCAGATGGAAGAAACAGATTATCCCTTTGAGATGGCTAAGGTAACATATTTTAAAACCCTCCTCTTTGTTTTTAATGTTGATACATTGTCAGTGTAAAGTTGATGTGTGTGTGTGTTTCTATTTTACGATTTGATTGTGTTCAGGAATCTGAACCGGTGAGTGAAAAGTTGAAAGGGCTACCTTTTGGTATCATACAGCCTAGATCAGATTTGGAGTTAAAGCCTCTTTGGTCAAGTAGTACTTCGAGGTCAAAGGTTAGTTTTTTTCTGCAATTGAGCTAAAGAGGAATCAAATATAAATGTTGCTAGAGGAGTTTCTGATGTATGTTGGTGTCTTAATAACAGGGAGGAGAAATGACAAACCGTAACTTGTTGGCAATGCCTGTAGGAATTAAGCAAAAGGACAATGTCGACGCTGTTGTAAAGAAGGTAAGTGTACTTTTGTATGTGACAGTTGATGAAATCATATATGCTCAAGAAAATAATATCTTTGTAACTTTGGTTAATATTGTTTGCTGTATTCAGTTTCTTCCAGCGAATTTCACTGTTATTCTGTTTCATTATGACGGAAACATGGATCAATGGTGGGATCTGGAGTGGAGCTCTAAAGCCATACACATTGTTGCACATAACCAGACAAAATGGTAACACATAATGATGTGTTTCTATATTGTACCTATTTAGTTTTTCATATAGTGTAACAATGGTTTTGTTAATCACGATTTGGTTATTACTCAGGTGGTTTGCGAAACGGTTTCTCCATCCTGATATCGTCACCGTATACGATTATGTTTTCCTTTGGGATGAAGATCTTGGAGTGGAGAACTTCAACCCAGAAAAGTAAAATCTCACTTACCCTACTTCACTTGTAACTTTACAACTCAAATAGAGGTGAATTCTTGGTTCCTTAAACAGTCTGATCTCTGCAGATACCTGAGGATAGTTAAATCAGCTGGGCTTGAGATATCTCAACCGGCTTTACATCCAAACTCAACCGAAGTTCACCATAGAATTACAGTCCGGTCTAGAACAAAACGCTTTCATAGGTGACTTCCTGTGAACCACTTGTTAAGGCCTTCTCTTGATGTTTTTCCATTACTTACAACGAATTGGTTACATAATCGCAGACGAGTTTATGATAGTAGAGGCAATATGAAGTGCTCAAATGCTAGTGAAGGGCCTCCATGCACCGGGTAACATTACGAGTTCAGACTTCTGTATATTAGTTGTTCATGCCACTAACTCTCACCTTCTGTGATTGTTTAATGTCTATTTTTCTGTGTGTGTTTCCAGATTTGTTGAGGGAATGGCTCCAGTGTTTTCAAGATCTGCCTGGTTTTGCACTTGGAATCTAATACAAGTAATTTGTTTTTTATCTGCTGCTTAAGCTAAATCTTTATGACATCTTTGACCTATTTTTGATGAAAACTGCATCTTATGTACTGTTGATTTATTGCAAATTTTGCAGAATGATCTGGTTCATGGGTGGGGAATGGATATGAAACTTGGGTACTGTGCTCAGGTAAAAAAGCCAGTTTCTTTCTATAGAACCTTTGATACATCATTCATCAATAGTACTCTCTGTATGAGTCTGTTCTGAAAAATGTTGGTTATAGGGTGAGCGTAGCAAGAAAGTTGGCATAGTTGACAGTGAATATATATTCCATCAAGGCATTCAAACTCTAGGAGGAAGTGGTTATCCCGACAAGAAGGTAATAAATATTCTCTCTACTTCCCACAATATTATTCCCTTGTATATACACGAAACTTAACAATTACTCTTTTCTTTATTTCCACAGAACTCAGATCGCAGTGGAGTCAATAGGGTAAGTCATTTTACCATCCAAAAATCTCATTTCTTGACTGTAAACAACATAACTTTCACACTTAAAAGGAAAAACATTCACACTTTTCTTTATATACAGAGACGCGGTTCTGCAACTTTTGATTCAAGAACAGAGGTGAGTTATTATTATTGTTACTGGATAATGAATCTGTGCTTTGAAATAGTTATTTATCTCTCGAGTGGAAGCATAATGTATGTGTGTGTGTGTGTGTGTGTTGGTGAGCAGATACGGAGACAGTCAACATGGGAGCTTAAAACTTTTAAAGAACGTTGGAACCGTGCGGTTGAGGAAGACAAGAACTGGATCGTCCGGTCTGCATCGACAAGGAACCGTGCCAGCAATAACCGGAGATTTAAGCGGAGTAGTGTGATTTCAAGTTTATTGCAGAGGAGAGCTCAAGAGACTATAAAATAAACACATGAGTTTTTTCTATCAGAGATCAAATATAGAAAAATGTTGTTTTTTGGCATTGTTAATAGTTAATCATCACTCTCTTTGATTAGTGTAGTTTTCAGTATCTTCTTTAGATGTGGCTCAGTCTCTCTTCCATCTTTGATTAATTCCAGTTGATTGAGCATGTTTTCGTATAAAAAAGGGTTCGCGTCGTTATAAAATTGAATTTAACGGTCGACGTGCATTCCAAACGCTTTAATCAACAGAAAATAAATTTTAAAATAAACAAATTATGATAATTGGTGAGGCGTAAGTGAAAATTTATGTCATCTGCTCGTTTCTTCTCCGGTGGCCGGTGCTCGTCGCAGATAACAAAGAAATTATGTAATTTGTAATGTTTTTTCTTCTTTTTGCGGTTTGGTTTTCTTTTTTTGGTTGTTGTTCGTATGTAAATTTTAGACTAAATTTTTTTTTGCATATTTATATAACTAGATTTATCATTAACATTTTACATAATCTTTGAGAAAGTTATTGTAACATCCCAATTTATAATATATATGAAAGATTCTAAAAATTATTTGGTTATCTATTTTACCAACATGCAATTACCTTTACACATCTGTTTAGAACTCCAAAAGTGTAGTTAAACCGGAATACTTGAATGATGAGTGACATATCAAAAAAGTGATTTTCGATATTATGCGAATGAAGCTAAAACACGTGGAAATATCATATAGTGATTGTATGGTCAGTAAACATAATTTTTGAATTTCTGAAAACTCACGCACTCTAGTGCAACGGACGGAGTTTACGGACTGAGAGAATAGGCATAGAGGCTCATTAATTGTGGGTTCAAAGCCTAACATAGACGAATATGGAGTTTTTATGTGGGTTCACACTATTATGGGTAAGAGCATCTCCAAAAAGAGATTCTATTTTAGAGTTTTCAAAACTCTATATATGAAGTTTGAAGGTGTTGTGTTCCAAAAACAAAACTTCAAATTTAACTTTAAAACTATTTGTATTTTGTACTCTGGTCCTTATATTTGTTATAACTAATTCAAATTCATAGAAATTTTATATATAACCAGCACATATATAAAAATACTACAACAATATTAAATGATAAAATGTTACAGTAAAATATGAAATTATTAATAGAATATATAATTAAATATTAAACTATAAATAAAATACCATATTAAATCTTGTAATATTGTTGTTGTCAAGTTCTAATTTTAAAATATTTTAAATCTTATCTTGTTGTTTTTAAAAGAAAATTATGTGCAAATTTTTAATTTATAGAAACAATTTTGAAATATTTATGAGATAATTTTTTTTAAGGATTATAATAATAAACCATAATATATTTAAGAATTATTAATATAATGTATAATTGTAAGGATCAAAATACAAATAAAAATATAAAACTTCAAATTTGAAGTTTTGAAGAGTAACACTCTATATTTGAAGTTTCAATACTCAAAACTTCAAATTTGAAGTTTTAGAGTTCCTTTTTGGAGAACCAAAAACTTCATATTTGAAGTTATAGAGTGTCTTTTAGAGATGCTCTTAGAGCATCTCCAAAAGACTCTTTATAACTTCAAATATAGAGTTTTTTGTTCTCAAAAAAAAACTTCAAAACATCAAATTTGAAGTTTTAGGGAGTGAAACTTCATACTAGAGCATCTCTAAAAAGAAACTTCATTTTGAAATTTCCCAAACTCTATATTTGAAGTTTCTAAGTGTTCTCCTCCAAAAGGAAAACTTTAAAACTAACTTCAAAATTTTTTATATTTTAAATTATGATCCTTATATTTGTCACAATTAATGAAAATTCATAAATTTTTATAAATAATTAACACATATATAAAAATATTACAACAATATTAATTAATAAAAATTTACATTAAAATATAAAACTAGAAATAAAATACATCATTAAACATTAAACTACAAGCAAAATATCACACTACTAGGTTATGCGCGGGAGGAGAGTTATATATATATATATATATATATATATATATAATTTTATGTTTTATTCTTTATTCTGTGTTCGTTTATATATTATAAAATAATATATATATATATATATATATATATATATTGAATTATTGAAACATCTGTAACTATCATATATACAATTAATTTAGCGAGCACTTAAATAAAATAATCATATTTTTTTATTTACAATCACTTTACATAAATAAATCTAATTAATAAATAATATTAACATATATATATATATTATACTTTTAATTTGAATATCTAATAAATGAAGATTCACACTTACATGGTTTATGATCATTTCTATATTTTTATAACAAAATATTTTAAAATATTGATGACATCATTTTTTAATGTGAGAGATTTAATATTTACAATAATTTATCATCATTTAAAAATATTAAATTCACAACTTTTCATTAAAGTATTAAGTTCTCAATACTTGTTCAATGCAATTTTAGAAATAAATATTTATGTATTTTTGAATGGTATTTAGTTTAATTTAAACATCATTAAAATGTATATATATACATTTAATTTTAATATCTACTAAATAATATTTCTTACTCATTAATTATATAATTGTTTGTATCATGCTATAACAAAAAAGTTTAAACTATTAATCAAAAATATTATATGTTAAATTTATAGAAATAAATTTGAAGATTTGTGAGATTTTTTTAAAGATTATAATGATAAATAAGAAAATATTTAAGAATCATAAATAAGATATGTAAATATAAGGATCAAATTGAAAATAAAAAAGATGAAACTTATTTGAAGTTTTGAAAAGTGAAACTTCAAATATGAAGTTTCACTCCCCAAAACTTCAAATTTGAAGTTTTGAAGTTTCTTTTTGGAGAGCAAATATATAACTATATTTGAAGTTATAGAGAGTCTTTTGGAGATGCTCTAATCTTTTATTAAACTTCATATTGAACTTCTAAAAACTCCAAATTTGAAGTTTCATTTTTTTATTTACAGTTTGATCCTTATATTTACATATCTTATTTATGTTTCTTAAGTATTTTCTTATTTATCATTTTAATCTTTAAAAAAAATTATATCTCACAAATCTTCACATTTATTTCTATAAATTAAGCTTTACACATAAAATTAAATATTTTTTTTTAAAAAAAGATTTACATTACTTTAAAATTAGAATTAAACAAAAGAATATTACAAAAAAACTTAATTAATATTATTTTTTAAAAAGGTGCATGAAAACATAATTATTATAGAAATTTAAATATTACAACAACACTAATAATCTAGTAAATATTCCCCCGGAACTCTAAAATTTTCAAATCTAAACAAGTTTTTTTGTAACCAAAGATGATTGTTCAAGACATCTTTTTCGTATGATTCTTTCTTGTTCAGAACGAATGTATTCACGAGTATTAATATCACCGATAGAAACTAAGTTTTTAGAAATATTTAATTTTCAGCTTTTACTTCTTTTAAAGCTAACTTTTTTGTTTCATTTTTATTTGTAATTCAATTATCTATTGTTTGTTTGGATGATATCAAAGTATCAGGTGCCATTTATTACCTTCGGTAGTCTTTCTTTTGAGTTTTGCTTTCTTCGATCCAATAGGACGTGAACTTGATCCGCCATCATGACTATTAAATTGATTGAAAATGAAGGCATTTTGGAGATTGTGATGTCGTAGATAATTTTATGGAATAATGTGGTATTTTTCTTGTAGTTTAATATTTATACTTCTAATTTTTATATTTCAGTGTAAATTTTTATTAATTAATATTGTTGCAATATTTTTTTATATATGTGTTAGTCATTTATCAAAGTTTTTATGAATTTTCATTAATTGTGATAAATATAAGGACTATAATATAATATTTAAATAATTTTGAAATTAATTTTGAATTTTTTCTTTTGGAGAAGAACACTTTGAAACTTCAAATATAGAGTTTGTGAAACTTCATAATAGAGTTTCTTTTTGGAGATGCTCTAATAATCTTGGAGCGTAACGAGTAACATTGCATTCTGTGAGGGGTATAAATTGTAATATCTCAGTTTGTAATATATGTGAAAGACTTAAGAGAATTCATTTGATTATCTAAGTCACCAAAATGCATTTACGTTTTTGGATACACATTTGTTTAGAACTCCAAAGTTAAACATAATTACACTGAAACTAAAACACGGAAAAATATCATATAGTGATGATTCAATAGACATGATTTTCAAATCTCCGAAATATTAACACACCTCACAAACAAAGGTCGAGTGAACAAATATAGAAAATTCATTAGCCATGGACCGTCAGAATTTTACATTTATATAAAACTGTTTTTGAAAGAAATTTAATATTAAAATCCAAAAGTAATTGGAAGGGGCCTAACAAGCTTTGAGCCGTGAATGGATTTATGGTTATGTAATGATTTTGAAATGCTAGTCAAATTTGATTTGAGCATGATCTTTTATAAAATTTTAAGACAGTTTTCAAGTTTTCAAATGTTCTTAGAAGCAGACAAGATAATTGACCAAAGGACCATTTCAGTTTGTTCCCATGTCCTTTCTCTCTCTTTAGAAATTTCAAATTATTTGAAAACTAGAGTCGTTGAATATATATATATATATATATATATATATATTTTAAAGAATATAGCTAATATGTTTATATTTGGCTTCGTTTCATTATATTCTAACGAAGCGACTGATTTCACAACTAAAACAAATAAAGTAAAGAGATCAAAAGGTTGTGTTAAAAAAAAAAGTTGTGTTACAGAAAAGAAAAAGAGATGAAAAGGTATTTACTATTTAGCAAAATAAACTATATACTTATGAATAAATAATTAATAAGACACGGTTTCTAGTGATATAAAGCAGCTTGTCTTCAACGTTTGGCTAATTCTCTCTCTCGGTCCGTGTGCTAAGATCTTGAAATCGATTTCAAGTCTTCTTCTTCTTCTTCAGCTCTAATCTTCTTTAAGCCATGGCTAATCGCTATGATCGGAATCCATTCGCCGAGGAAGAAGAAGTCAATCCTTTCGCTGTAAGCTTTCTTGTAACTTTAGATTTAACTTCTTTTTTTTTTCTTTTTTGGGATTAATCGCTCTCCAATCTTGCTTCTCTGAAATGGGTTTCTCGAATCTTGGTGAATTAATTGACTTCTGTGGAAATCTTGATTGTTATAACTTTAGATTTACCTCTATTTTTCTTTTTAGTTTGCCTTGTTGCTTATTATACCCTGAAAATGAGTTGATTGTAACTCAGGTTTTGTTTAAAACGTTCATTGATTTAATTCAAAGGATTTGTGATGGTTTTCTTTTAAGCAAAATTATGTTTCTTACTGAATTTTGAAGCAATAAAAGTTTGTTTGTTTTTTGTTGTCTTATACATCAAATATAGAATCCTGGGAGTGTTCCAGCAGCATCGAACTCAAGACTCTCGCCTTTACCTCCAGAGCCTGTTGGTTTCGATTATGGTCGAACTGTTGACATTCCTCTTGACAATGACAGATCCGCTACACAGGTTAGAGATAATGGTGGAGCTGATTTGTGATTAGGTGGATCTTGGGAATTAGTTATAAATAAACTTATAATAAAACTTGTTGGGAGTTTTTTAGAATTTAAAGAAGAAAGAAAAGGAACTTCAAGCCAAAGAAGCTGACCTAAGACGACGGGAGCAGGTACTCAACCGCTGAAACATGCACTATTTTAAGCTGTACAAGTTAAAGAAGTGGAGTCTTTGACTCTTATCTTGAAAAGTTACAGTCTTTTTGGATGGCTCTTTTGCAATGATTCAATATTTATATTTTATACATATTTTTGGTGTCATGATCAGATCTCTAAGCTTTTGCATTACTTAGCCGCAACATTGTTGTTATTTTGATTCTTCTTTTTTTTTGGGTTATATTTAGGAAGTGAAACGGAAAGAAGATGCTGCTGCACGAGGTACTTTGCTTATAAAAGTTTAGTGTCTTCACTGTTTTCTCTTAGATGTGTCTCAGTTGATTCATCTCTTTCTTTTTCCTAATTCGTAATCATTAATTGTCTCTCTCTCTCTCTCTATGCAGCTGGAATTACTATTGAGGTGAAAAACTGGCCACCTTTCTTCCCACTTATCCACCATGACATTGCCAATGAAATCCCTGTTCATCTCCAAAGGCTTCAGTATGTCACCTTTGCTACCTACTTGGGTGTGTATTTCGTTGTCCTACTTTTTTACATTTTCATTCTTCTCTGCTCTGACTCTTCTGTTGACACATTTATGATGTGGTTCTTGTTTGGCAGGGTTGGTCCTTTGTCTATTCTGGAATATCATTGCTATCACTACAGCTTGGATAAAAGGAGAAGGTTTGTTTCTTGAGACTATCTCAAGTTTCCTCATTACTTCATAGTTAACTTACTTCAAAGAGTTTGGTTTGTTTTTGTTCAGGAGTGACGATATGGCTTCTTGCCCTTATTTACTTCATAGCGGGTGTCCCAGGAGGCTATGTGCTATGGTATCGTCCTCTTTACCGTGCCTTCAGGTTTGGAGTTCTCTACTTTTCAAAGATTTGAGTTTTAATATTATGTTACTGCGTTTTCCACATTTTTTGTTGAATGTTTGCAGAACTGATAGTGCATTGAGCTTTGGATGGTTTTTCATGTTCTATATGGTAAGCGAGGGTTATTAGCTAATATGGTGGTATTATACATTTTATTCTGGGTAAAATCAAATCTGAAGCCGTTGTTCTTGCTGCAGCTCCACATTGCTTTCTGTGTCTTTGCTGCGGTTGCTCCACCTGTTGTCTTCAAAGGAAAATCTCTTGCGTAAGTTTTTTATTTTTGTCTTTCCTCAACATGTGAAGCTTTTCTCGTCATTGCTTTTTGCAATTTGAGTTTTGGTTCTTTGTTCCTAATCTTCATTGCAAACTCCAAAATATAAGCAGTTTGTTAGCTATTGTTCTTGAAAATTTACTCTTACAATCGGTTTGTCTTCATGTACAGTGGGATCTTACCTGCAGTTGATGTCTTAAGCGGTAATACATTGGTTGGGGTAAGCTCTCTCGCCCTTTGATGATCTTCCAGGATCTTAAAACAAATCCTGAGATAAAGGCATGAAGCTTGATCTTTATCGTTATGGATGTATGGATCATTGACCTTGTTTTGTTCTTTGTGTACAGATATTCTACTTCATTGGGTTTGGGTTTTTCTGCCTTGAATCAGTGGTCAGCATCTGGGTTATTCAGGTCTCTCTCTTCAACCCACATCACTATATTTTCAGTTTGCTGAACATAGTGTTTATAACTTCTAAATCTCTTTTTCTGACAATCGATTTTGGTATGGTTTTGTGTTTTTGTTTGAGTAGCAAGTGTATATGTACTTCCGAGGCAGCGGGAAACAAGATGAGCTGAGACGAGAAGCAGCGAGAGGTGCCCTAAGAGCTGCCGTATGAGCTCTCTGTAATATTTTGGTTCGTACGTAATCTTCACTGTTTCTTTCTTTTGTCAGATTTTCTCTCCCTCTTCTTTCTTGTTTTGTAACTTGTAAGCAAAAACAAATTCGAATTTTCTTTATACTTTGTCATGTAAATCTGTGTTTGTTTAAAAAGTCAGAGTTCAAGTTTATACCCTTTTGGAAATCATTCATGGATTATTTAATCTTTCTAAGAACCCACCTTATTATTCCACACTTTTTATTTTTTGTATTTTTGTTTCTGTAGTCTGATGGCTTTAACTTTAATAGATTCTTGAATTTATGAAAATGTTAATTCGCATGACATCATATGCTGCGAGTAAGAGAAGTACAACAATGTATCGTTATTTGTAACCACTGATGACAAATCAAATGTCGGTTATAAGCTCTGCTTCTTCACGAACTTTCCTTTTTGCCTTTGTTGAACCAGAGAGCAGCAAACTGGGTGATGTAAACCCGGATACTCGTAGTACCTTTGAGAAGAAGTTGTTTGATCTAAGGCAGACGTAGATGGAACTTCCAACGAGTGATGAGATAGATAAGCAAATAAGTTTCATGGCTCAACATCCTCAGATGACTTCGCTATTGCAAAGTTTAACTGATAATCTTTTCCTGAACTTAAATTTTTCTTTAAGATGAAAACAATTAATTTTCTGTCTGAACTTAACAAACAGTCGATACTTTTAGCAGTTTGATCAAATAAAAATTTTAAGATGGCTACGGTTGCTCCATTAGCAAAATTATGATCGGTGGCCAAAGCGGACTTCACGATGAATGTGCAAACCTTCCCATCACTAGGTAAAGAAGTGTTGCCCAAAACTCGAAGGAAATAGTATACTCGCTTCTCCGAGTAGAAACAGACACAAAAACCTGAGAATTCAGTATGTCATCCCCTAGGGTCTTTTTGAGACGACAAGGTCTCAACTTCCAGAGCATAACGGTTTCCAGAGCCGGTATTGAGCCAAGCCAGATGAAACATTGACCTTGGCCTCCAAAATTTTTGAAAGAAGTTACATGTACATAGATTCTCAAAACAAAATTTTTATGCCTCCAAATCCGTTAAAAAAAACAAAATTTAGGTAAAATCGGTTAAAAATCGTCGTAGGTCCCCTAATTCTCAGAACCGACCCTAACATTTCCTAATTATAGAATAAGTTTCCAAACTATGCCAATGTTCTCTAGCAGAGAAGAAAATGCGTTTGCAGGTTTCTTGGAATCCCTTGAAGGCCTACGGACTGAAGAAGACTTCTTATCTTACCTCTCCGAAGATTGAAAAGTGGGCTCTGTGGCAGCTTCTGTCACAAAAGACTCCAGAAAAGAATCCCTGGAAACCCTGGAGGTGGAAAAACGTTAGAGAACATCACTAAATCAGACTACGAAAAAAAAACATATGGTAAACAACAAAATCGAACACTAAAATAGGTTATTTACATCAATCAATCTAACAATTATTTCGTCGAACCGGGTTTTGAAACTCATAAACGACCGGTCTCAGATAGAAATGTCAATTAGGGCCGAAACTCATGGTGCCAGTACTCCCAGCCCTAGAGATAGTGGATTTGGCCTTTATTACATAAACCCAAAAAAAAATTGGATCTTTCAGGGTTAACCTACTTGGACTTTACATGTTTTGAGCTTAAACTCGTTTAGGTAGGGCTGGTCCGAAAGCCTGAAACTTATATTGATTATATTAATTTTTTGGCATTAGTCTTTATTTCTTAAATTATATAAAATTGATGCTCATGTTTAAAAAAAATAATTATAGTATTCTGAAAATTGCAGTAGTGTCAAAATCTATTTTTATCATTATTGCTTATGTTTTAAACAAATTTAGAAATCGTTTCCTATTAAAAATATGTTGAAACACTGATATATACACATACGATTGGAATGATTTGCCGCGATCCATAAACTTTGATATTTATAAAAATTTCTTTTATAGCGATATATATGTAAAAAATTTATATATATATATATAGGTTTTGATGATGATGAGAACATGGAAGTCACTGATGAACATCATGATTTTAATCATACAATTTTTATTGTTTAGAGTTAAAAGAATTTAGATTAATTTCAATTGACTATTATTGTTTAGTTGGTTTATTAGGTAAGAAATTTTTTAATTTTAGATTTTATAAGCATATGGATGATTGTTTTAATTTGGGATCAAATTAATTTTAGTTTTACACTTAATGTATTCAATTTTAATTTATTTTTCTAAAAATCCAGAAAGTCATATAGCCATTTCTGACTAGGTTGGACTTTAAAATATATATAGGCCCAAAAAATTTTCAGTCTGGATTGGACTTAAATAGTAACAGGTTTGCGGGTTTTGGGCAGGACTAGGCTGAGCCAGCCTGATTGACACCTCTAGTTTCAGATTCACCATCCAAGTCTGAATCAATATCCGACCTGTCTAACGATCCAAGAGACACTAGACTCTAAGACCACCTCCAATAGGTGGCATGGTGGGAACTTCAACCGAAGGTGTAGGTGGACGGTTACGAGCAGCCACATCGATTTTGAACTGTTCTTAAAAAAAAATTGTTTCTTCCCTTCTTGTATTATCTTCATCCAACGATCAACTGCTACATCATCGTCGTCATCGGCCCAACAAGCATCCTTCTCCATCCCTATTCTTTTTAGAAGTTCCTTCTCAGCCTCTATTGCTACCAATATACTCTCAATATCATGTGGCTGCAAACTTATTTTCTCCTTAATTCAAATTATTCATATAACATTAATTACCTTAGTTTGACCAAGTTGCTCGTTCATTGCATTCAGACTGTATGCCTTCATTCCACCTTTGCATTTGTACTGCATCTTGCACATCCGCGGGCAATCATCGTGTACATTTTTCACATTTTCTCGAAAATGGTTCCTCAAGCTTGGAATTTCCTTAAAGGCCAACAACTACTCGCAACAAACTACATCATTATTATCAAATTAACGTATTTACTATCCTAAGAAAAAGAAGAGCTAGAGAATACCTCCCAAAAAAACAGGAAAGCTTGTAAATACCCAACTAGTCGGAACCTCCCTTTGCACTTCTCCAATAAGCTAAATACATCCTTCAAGTTGTGTTCGAATGCATACCGCCCCCAAGGGAATTTTAAGCACGCATCGAGGTCATCAACAACAGTCCGGAAGAAACTGTCCACAGGTGATGCTCCCTCTCAAGTCTTTCGGCCTCCAACGAGGATGTTGGCTAAGAAGTACAGAACGGCCATCTTCTGGCGATCCAGACTTGGGTTTCCTTTTATTTCCAACATCTTCTTCTCCACCTCATCGTATGTAACCCTTTCCCCTTCAAAATACTTGTTCATGAAGGATGTACCACCCAACCTCTCATAGTTCGGCGGATACTCATGGCAGTATAGTCCAGAGATAAGTTTGAATTCTCTAAGAGAGTATCGGATTGGGACGCCATTAAAAATAAGCCATAACTCATTCTTCTTCGCTGTCGAAGCTGAACGCAAAACAAGAATCTACATTCCCATCCACTTCTGCTTTCGGTTTTTTTATATGGAAGAAATGTTGGAACTGTGGGTCATCTAAGAACAAGTCCACTTCCTTCTGTTTCAGGATCCTTTGTATATTTGTTAGCGCCGAGTCGATGTAACATTTTCCTGAAAGCTGAACACCCTTATGATACGGGTTTGAAGTAAAGCGGAACTTAAGCGGTTGCATGGCTCCGTCATCTCCGACCTGCAGTGGAGTGAAAACTGGATAACATATGAAATAAACTTCAAGTTTTTTTACCTTTCACAAACGTTGTCAATTGATACAGTTGAAGTTCAACTTAGTTTTAAAAAGTTCTTCATACATTACTTTGTTTCTCAATATTTTGCTTACTCCAAATTTCACTTTGTTTTACACAGTTATACTATCTTTAAGTAATGAATAAAGCAAGGATAAAACCTACCTCTTCATGCGTCTCAATTTGGGTGCCCCCCCCCCTCTCTTCAGCTTCTTCGTCATTTACTCTGGAAACCAATTGAACTCCTTCTCCGACTTCCTTGTCTTTTTCTCCAGATTCCTTGTCTTCTTCTCTCGATTCCTTTTCTTCCTCCTCCCTGAGTTCCTTGTCTTCTTCACCGGCTTCCTTCTCTTTCACTTTATCACTTGATTTTTCTTATGCATCTAGGGGAGCTTCCTCGGTTTCCGGTTTGACAGATTTGTCGATGGTGCTTGCGTTTACTACCTCATCCCCGATTACTTCTCCGCTTCCACATGTAACCACAGCGGTTTCTTCTACTACACTATTAGTCCCGTCTTCTTTTGTCTTCGGATCGACTTGGTTCAACATTATTAGGGTTTTGAGAATGGTGAGATTGAGTGAGAGACAGTGAAACTGACCCAGTGAAACCTTCGAAACATTTCCTTTATTACTAAGAAACATATTCGAAAATTATAAATTATTCTGGAATTAGGGATCCGATTTTTGTGGGCCAGTCTTGGATTCGGGTTTAGATAGTCCTAGGTAGAATTGTAATTACCCAACTTTCTCTTGGTTTTGTTGTCTTTTAATAATTTTTGTGATTTAAATAAAATTTTATTTAATTCACATTTCGGATAGGAGTATCTGATAATAAAATTTTTCGGGCAAGAGCATTGGAGCATTTGATTCAATGGTGAGTCATTCGAGGTAGTTTTGGATTTTAGTCCATTTGGTTTTTGAGCGTTTCAAGTTATTATATTTACCCTTATGGTGTATTTTCACTTGTTCAAAATATTAGAGAAAATATAGATATAAAAGCACAAAAAGGCTATATTCACAAACCAAATGTGTAGCTTTTTTTTTTGTCAAACAAACAAATGTGTAGCTAACTTAAGCTATACACACAACAACAACAACAACAACAAAAGGTAAGAAAAAAAACTGCTCAAGTGTGCAACCCTAACTAAAGAACATATAATTTTTACAGTGATAGTTATTCTTTTTACTTTTTTTCTGGTTTTGGTAAAAATCTATGATGCTTCAATTGCCCTATAGTTTGTTTTTTTCCTTTCTTGAATATAAAAAACTAATAAAATATTAAACGGAAAAAATAAAAAGCAGACAAAAGGCTAAACCCCACGACCGGTTGTTTTGTTGTACTGTCTCAGCGACTCCATTCTCTGCAACTTCATATCCTCATTAAACTTCTTAATAAACGCTTCCACTCGCCGATTCAACTCATCCTGACTCGGTGACGGCTCTTTCCTCACCGGAGACTGGTGATAGTTAGTCCTGTCCCTAAACGTGGCCGATTTTTTGTAAACCGGTTTAGCCTCGCCGCTATCACCTGAATCTCCACGGCTAAAGGTGTCAGATCTCCGGTATAACTGATTGGTCAACGGTGTTGACTTTCCTTGGGTTATCATTTTCCAAGTGTTCTCTAGCGTCTCGTTCTGCTTCGCCTTCCTCACTCTCAACACCGCTCTTCCACCTTCAGAACAAAAAGAAAATAAAAAATTGTATAATAATACAGATCTGCCCCTCTGAATCTTTGACTTCAAACTGCCGACTGACGCCAAGTTTGAATATTCAAAAATAATTTAAATCTACCTAACCGTTAGTTAACATAACGTCATCATCTTCTTCCTTTTGTTTTCTTTTAACGAACTTATTAATTTCGAATTTATTTTAAAATTAATTGATTCTTTTTAAAAAGTATCAGTACCTTTCACCGACTTCTGGTGGCCGAATCTTGAATCCGTCGGAGGAAGATTTTCCGATTCAGTCATCCTCGGCGGCAGATTATTTCGACTTGAAATATCCCGCGGAAACATGACGTCGTCATCTCCACCAGATCCAACCAAATCGGAAATTTCCACCATAATTACAGTCTTAGACTCCGATTCAGTTTCATCTTCCACCATCGTCATCACATCTACTCTCTTCTCTTCCTCCGCAACCTCCTCGTCCTCATATGTAACCACCTCTGGTGGATTCGCAGCTACGAAATTGAATTGCGCATCTGTATCCAAATCCTCTACCTCCAGCATCCGGGGAGAAGCTGAGTCATGAACAATCGGCTCTGTCTGGATCTTATAACGGCCATCATCATCGTCCTCCTGCTCATGGTGGCCAGTGCTCTGGTAATATTTCGAAGAAGCGACGATAGTGATGATGATTCCGTTGGTGAGGATGTAAAGATAGGGCGGTTTCAGCCACGATAGCAAAGAGCTCCATATGATCGGAGCTTGCGATGAGGCGAAATCAACAGCTATAGGAACAGAGAGCTTAAGTAACAGTCCGACGGTGGCGACGCTGCTTGAGATTAGCACCGCCTTGGTTGTCATCAGCCAAGAAACCATTTTCTCCAACTCTCTCTCTTGCTTTTTCTCTTTGTGAATGTTCGTGTGGGGATATGTGTGTACGATTCAACCTCAAGATTATGGTGTGATTAATATAGGGAGGGAAGTCATGAGAAAGTAGCCTTTGATTTGATATCTGCCGTTAGATCTACGCTTGGTTAGATGAGCGGTGAGGATTTATGGAGAGTGATTGCAATATGGGTCCAAGTTAAATACATGAATTTAATTTACATTATCAGGATGACCATAACATTAACTATCACTTTACGTGTTAATATATGTGTAATAAATGTATGCTCACTCTCTATTGAAAGTTACTGGTGGAATTTACAAGTGTACTATATTCTAATGTTCAGATGTTGGTATGATGAATTGGTTAGATAGGTGATAATATCCACTATAAGTGTTTTGTCAAAAAAAAGAAATCCACTAGAAATAAATGATTGTTTATCCATGAATGAACTATGAAAGTCAATCAATAGTTCTAGATTAAATTTATCAGTTAAATATCTGACAATGCCTCCAAGTTTTAATTCCCGCTAATCTTATGCATCATCTATATTTCGTGTATGTTGTTTGTATTTTTATTTCTTTCTGAAGAAATTAGAACATGAGCCTGAAAATGAGATTTCGTAACGACTAGGAGGGAGGTTGTTGATTGGTATTTAGTAGCTTCGTCGATTGCTTTAAAACCAGACACAAACTTTGCAATTTAATTATATTTTGAGAATAGATTTTTATCAAAAAATTAGAGATATAATTTTCAAAATTTCTACACGATAATTTAACAATTTGTTAATAAGTTAATTCATCATTGATAGAATTTAGGTTTTTCTAAACGTCAACCCAAGTTACTTATAACAATTTTATGGAGTATTATTTTATCAAAATATATTGGTTTCCTTATTATTCGAGGAACGGACAATTGATCTACCAACACCAAATCAGATAATTCTATTCAATCAATACGCAAGGCAATAGGCTTTTCGACTGTAAATCAATTGTTTTAGCATCGGTATTCTCTAAACGTTGTCAATTTCCGAGAATAACTATTTATATTAATAGGGTGATATCCTTAAGGACGTTGTTGGGTTAGTGATCTATAGTATAACCAGATTAGTTTAGAGACCAGCAAAGTAGTGTGTGTATATTAGGGCATCATTATTGCAAGGTTCTTAAGGTAAAGTCCTTAACATACATATATGTATATGTATATATTGTATAAGCATATATAATTATAGATTAAGGACTTTACGGAAACCAAAGTCGAAAGTTTCTTAATTAAGGAACTTTTGGCTTTGGTTTCCGTAAAGTCCTTAACCTATAATTATATACGTTTATACAATATATACATATACATATATGTGTATTAAGGATTTTACCTTAAGAACCTTGCAATAATGATGCCCTAAACATGAGTGTGGGGCAAAGTAAAGAGTTACTACTAGTACTTACTAAAGACAGTAAAAGAATTAAACAATGCATTGTTTATTGTAGTGTTGAAGAACAAAAGTCTTGTCGAGGAAAAAAGTGCAAATATAGCTTATGGACTAAGCATGTTGATGTCATATGTGATATATACTATAGTTTCAGTATTACTTTGACCAAGAGCACTTGTTTAAAGGTACGTACTTGAAGGCGTAGGGGACCACCTTTTCTATAAGAGAAATACTTAAATAAATAGAACAACATAATTTTAGGCTTACTACATTTTTTATGAGGTAATTAAATTTTTAAAAATATACTATATTCCAAATTTAAAAATTTGTGCACTTGTGCTCTCAGGAAAACATAAATATTTGCAACTTATAAAATAGATAAACATGCAACTAGTAATAACTTTTTGATGAGGTAATTAAATTTTTGAAAATATACTATTTCCAAATCTAAAAATTTGTGCACTTGTGCTCTCAGGAAAACATAAATGTTTGCAACTTACAAAAGAGATAAACATGAAACTAGTATATATATTTCAGTAACTTATCTATTAGTAATCTGGTGATTAAGAAACTTAAGATATAACCTATTTGCCATTTAATATCATTTTCCAAAACATTAAATATTTGATCGAATAATAAAATCACTTAAAAATTCAATTTTTCAAAAAATTAAATATTTGATCGAACTATAAAATCACTTAAAAATTCATTTTTTATTTATTCTAAAAATCAGTATAAATTATATACATTTGTATTATCAAAAGAAAATATGTAATGTGAAGCATTTTGAAAATTTATCGTGTATTTCTTACTCAGTTTTTAAAATATTACGAACAATGGCTAGTGAACTAAGACATCAAATTTCAGGTAAATGAACGGAGCTTTTTCTTGGGTGATAGAAAATAATAATATGAGAAAAAACATAAATCAACATAATTAGTAAGTAATTAAAGAAAGGGAGAAAAGGTGGAGCTTGCAAGTTACAACGGTCGTATATTGGACCGTATATTTTTTGTGAGCAAAATATTCGACCGTTATCTGATGAAAGTTGTTTCTCCATTTGGGTCGGCAGTGAAGCCCCACACTGCTCGTGCCCAGCTGTATTGCTCAGTGATCCAACTCCAAAGTTTTACTTCGCAACTGGCGCCACAGCTTCCACCATCTTTTTATTTATCTACTGATACATACATATACCAATGTTCTGTTGTTAAAAAAAAAGAAAACATATACCAATTGTCTATTAAAACAATTTTTATGCACTTTTTCTTTTCATATTGTTTAATTTCATCAAGTGTCCTTACGTAACAAGTAGAAAATAAGGGAATCCTGAATCCTTATTTATAATTTATGTAGGTTTATGTTTTTCTAAGAGAATCTCCAAAAGACACTCTATAACACCAAATATTAAGTTTTTGGCTCTCCAAAAATAAACTTCAAAACTTCAAATTTGAAGTTTCATCTTTTTATTTATATTTTGGTCCTTACAATTAATTATATGCTATATTTATGATTTTTCAATACTTTGTTTAACATTTTAATCCTTCAAATTTTTATATTTTATAAATATTTCAGATTTTTTTTATAAACTTAATTTTTATACATAAAACTTTAAAATAAAATTTCTATTATTTTAAAACTAAAATTAGACTTCGCGGATATTATAAAAGAAACTTAAAAAGAAACTTTTTAAAAGGTACATGAAAAGCATAATTATTACATAAATTTAAATATTACAACAATATTAATAGTATGGTAAATTTTCTCTGAAACCTTCAAAATCTCCAAAATATTATCCAAATAAGTGTTGTGTAACTGAAGATGGAGCATTATGGAAATAATGTTATGAAATATGTAATATTTTGTTTGTATTTATTATATAGTTATGTATTTCTATTTACAGTTCTATATTTTAGAGTAAATATTTTTAGTTAATATTATTGTTATGTTTTTTCATATACGTGCTAGTTATTTATAAAAAAATGAATTTATACTAATTATGAAAAATATAAGGATCATAGAGTAAAATAAAAATAGTTTTAAAGTTAGTTTTGAAGTTTTGTTTTTGGAGAAGAACACATTGAAATTTCAAAAATAGAATTTTGCAAACTCTAAAATAGAGCCTCTTTTTGGAGATGCTCTAATAGATCAAATGTCCTTTTGATAGCTTCATATTTGTAAATCAAGCCTTCACTCACCTATTAATTGCTATAGAAATAGCGTCCGCTCGATATGATACGTGGTCCTGATCCTGAAAACATCATTATCGGAATATCCAGTGTGTCGAAGGAAAAAAAAAAGAAATAGTTATAAAAGTCTCTTAATAATGTTTTGAGCAAAAAAAAAAAAGTCTGCTAATAATGTTTTGGAGTTTTAAATATTTGAGAAGGACTATTTTTAAATGGAACGAAAATTGGAAAGTATAAACGCGTGAAGACTGAAGAGCCCCACTATAACGCTCTTTTTCTTTTTGTAGATTTTGTTGATCGCTATAAACCGGAGAAGATAAAGTATTTTAATTTTCTACGTTTGAAAGGATGAACTTATTGGTCGGTCTACAAAATCACATTGACGTACGTAGGGCTTTTGTATGTGTGTGTATTTTTTTCTCAACATTTCTATATGCTTATTTATATAATTTTTTTTGTCTCCTTTTCCATAACAAAAAATATTATAAGAATATTGAAATTATATTGGTCGCCTGGTTTGGTTCTCGTCAGATATAAACTACCACAAATGCTAATTTCTCTGCATAAACTTTTAGAAGTTGGTCAAAGTTGATGTAAAAAGGTTACTTTTTGGATGAATAAACTAATATTCTTTCAAAAAAATGATATTGGTAAAAATACTGGAATCACAAAAAGGTTGCGAAAATAATAAAGTATGTACAACAAATATGAAATGGAATGTCATGATACAAAATTTTGTTCCGCAAGTCTTTTTGTGAAGTACAAACAGAAAATTGAAACATGAAATTTCTGTTTGATATATTGGTATTTTCTGGAGAATTATGTTTTAGTATAATGAACGTATATACAGTTCTTTCGTTCAGCTATACACCATCTTTCTGTAAATTAATTTGTTCATTGGCTGATACATTATCATCGTTCTAATATAATAGTATGCAGTGTTATAAAATTCGATACAAGCAATGTCTAGACCCCCGCCTAATCGACAAATCAGTTATAAACGAAACGCTTTTCAAACCGACTTTTTAAAAATCAATTTATGCGTTAAAAAAATCGGTGTAGACGCTGATAATATATGACTTCAATGGTTCAAATTAATGCTCAAATACACTGACAATAAGACAGCTTCTCTATAACATTTACTCGTAATGTTTAAGAGATATAGGTATTTGAGATAGAACGCGAGACAAGTCACACAAAAGTAACAAAACGAAGGAATTTTTGTTAGCATACATCTCACTAGAGCACATCCCGTAAACTACAGTTGTTTAGTATGTTATGAATCCATGTACATGTATATGTATCTGTATAATTTAAAAAGTATATAATAAACATTATTCGATGACAACTACCACAACCCAAATCATGGCTGGTTTTAGCGTGAGGTGTCGCAAATAGTTGCACCAGAAGCTCAAATATAACAAAGTTTCGTTTTT